GAAGGATTGAATGAATTTAATGGGAAAAATTTCAACGACTCAAATCATCCGATTCATTTGCAATTTTTTTTGGAATTAAAAAAAATTAAAAATGGTTATCATTAAAAGTATTTTACAACAGTTTAAATAATAAGTAAAAAAAAAAAAAAAAAAAAATTCTCTCGTGATTTATTATCGTCTTTCTAAAACTTAAAATTAATTTTTATATATATATAAGTTATGAGAAAATTTTTAAGTGTAATATTCGCTGAGATTTTTTCATTAAGATATATATATATAGTTTAATTTTGTTTCTTTAATGTTAATTTCTTTAATTTAATTTTCAGATAAATTTTTTCAATTTAATAAATTCTCATTTTTTATTAGACTGTACATATTATTATAATTTCAAATTATGAACGAGAATTTTTTTTTATTAACAAAAAAATTTTTTTTTTTAATTCGTAAAAATTGAAATTCTACAGTTATGAAAATCAATAAATTATTGATTATCATTTAAAATTGAGAGGAATGCAATTATGTTTACTTCATCTTAAAATTTTTAAAATGAATCTCTTTTGACCTTAAATGTTAACCTGCATTAGATAAAATTTTGCTTTCACCGGTTGAAAATTGAGTAATAAGTTAATGTTGTCCTTACATTTTATGAGCATTTACATATACAATTTTATTATTATAAATAAATTATTTGTAAAATATATATATTTGTTTTGTCTTGTTGTTAAATAGAAGTTTCTTTTGTTAGTAAAAAATTGTTTTTTTTCAAACGAGATAATGTAATATTTCAAACGTGTTAATCATGCATAATAAGCAACTGTGATAATTGTTAATTTTTTTTGTTTTTATTTATCCTATTAATTGAAAATTAAATGTTTATGTTAACATACAAAATGTATAGTCTTTTTGTAAATGTGATGATGCTATTGATATTATGTGTTTTTTGCTTTTTCTTTCCTATTTAAAAAAAAATTTATTTCTTTTGTTATCCTTGTCAAAATTGTAAAATTATTTATTAATATTTTTAGTGCAATATTGAAACAGAAAAAAAAGAAAAAAATTTAGAAATGGCGGCATGTAAAACTTTGAATGACCAAAATTTTTTTTTGTTTAAAATGTCGAGGTTGTTTTGTAGTTTTAAAAAAGAATTAATAAATTTTTTTTATAATGTTACCGACTGTTATGATTTGCTTATTGACAAAATGTCATTTGACTTTAAAAATCAACCTATTACAATTTAAAAACACTAAAATAAAAAAAATTTTTTGTTTTTACATATTAAACAATAATGAAAACCGAAAATGACAAAAAATTTAAAAATACAAATGTATGATAATATGATAACATTATATTGATTCTTCTTTAAAATCTAAAAATTTTATTTTACTTATAATTTATTAATGTTTTTTATTTTATTAAAAATAAAACTCATTTATTTCACATCAGTATAATTTAGGTTGTGAAAAAAAAACTTAAAATTTTATTTAATAAATTTTAATTTAAGTATTTTTTTTTTGTTTTTGTTAAAATTTATTCTTATTATTAATTTTAAAGTAATCGTTAATATATTGTAAAAATTGTCTTCCAATTTACTTTGTTTTGTTTTTGTTTTTAGCTTGTAAATTGTAAGTTATCATTATTGTAAAATATTATACAATCTTTAGGCATTTAAATGTATTTTATGCTTAACCAATAAAAAATAAAATTTCAATTTTTTTGTTTGTGCTAAAAATTTGACATTTATTTTTTTATTAAAAATTATCCTTTCATCTCTTAAATTTATGAGCATAAAACAAAATATTAAAAACACTTACACAATGTCATTAAGTATCTTCATTTTTTTCAGGTTTAGTTTAGTTAAGGCAAACATTTTATAGAAAATAGATTTTTAAAATTGCAAAATTTTATTTAGTGGAATGAGTAGCAAAATGTAAAACGGTATAAAGTTGTTTTCTCATTGTTAAATATTTAAAAATATACTTTAGGAGAAAACTATAGTATTTATAAAAGTATTTTTTTGAAATTTATAAAATTATAGTAAAGACTAAAACGTACATTATTGTATAATTTAAAGTGTTTTTGTTATTAATGGCTGAATAAAAAAATTTCATTTGTGAAAGTAAAATGGTAGGTTCTTACCTTCAGAAAAAATTCCAAATAAATGATTTATGTAGTCTTATCGAATCCAGATATTTGACCACAAAGTTTTTTGCACGATAATAACCGAATAAATTCATTTTTTTTTATATTTTAGTATTAAATGATTAGATATAAAGCCGACTTTGTTTTAAGTAAGGTTTAGCGTTGAGAAATACAATCAACTATTTTTAGCGCGAAACGTAAAGTTCTCATTTAAATGTAGTTTTTGTTTGGTGAGATTAAAAATTATTTTTCGCGTTCAAATAATAAATTTTTTTAAAAAATTTGAAATTTTTAAAGTTTCCATCGTTGCTGTGATTATAACAGTTATTTTTTTAAAAAAAATTAATCAAGCACTTTTATTTTAAAAAATACCGTTGAGCGAAACCGTTAAATTGTTTCAAAATTTAAATTGAATTTTGTTCTTTATATTAAATGTTCGAATCATAAATATCACAAATTTTGCCGCATGTCGGTTTGAGTTTTGTTTATTAATTAAAGAAAAATTGCAAAATGTAATAATTTTGTTTTTTTTTTTATTTGTAAGTTTTATAGCTTAAAATTTACAAAAAAAAAAGAAATTAATTAAAATGTGAACTTAAAAATAATACAGCGAAAAATTTTTCTGATCCAATGTTTCTTAACTTCCGCCTAAATTGTTGTTATTAAAACAGGTAATAATGTGTATTCGACAAAAATTAAACGCTTTTATTATTTTATATTAAACGTTTAAAAAATTTATTTTAATATTATTATTATTATACGCATGCATTGTGTATATTTGATTTTAAATGATAAATTTTAGGTTAGTAAAGTATTGCATTTTAATGCAAAATTTAGTTTTATCGTTGGGTTTACTTAGCATGAAATTTTTTAGGTTAAAAGCTCCCATATATTATTTTTTAATTTATTAGAAATGAATTATTTTAGATAAAAAATTTAAAATGTCTACCGACTGGGACATTGATTCTTATAAAACTGATTATGAAAATATTGAACATTGGGAACTCAAGAAAAAATTTATGCTTGCTCATAAAGATAAATTTTCAGAAGATGAATTAGTTAGCTTAGCTCAGGTTTTTGCTAATATTGAATTCTTGGGCTGCAGGTAATTTAACATTAAAAATTTGTGTTATAAAATTTAAAAATTATTGTTAATCACTTTTATAATATTATTTTAAAATAATTTTTTTTTAGATACCCTGATAAAACTATGATTAGGGTGGCCGAATTGGCCAAAGGTGTTGTTGAAGAATTTCGAGAGCAAAGAAAACATACTTTAAAAAGAACTTTAATCGGGTCTGAAGAGGCTGCTTCTGCTAAGATTAAAGGTAATTTTTTGTTTAAGCTATTCAATGGTACCATAAATTATTATTTGAGATGGTATTGATTATTATTTTTAGGGCAAAATTTTTTAAAAAACCAAGAAGAAAATGATTCGAATAAAGGTAAATATTCTTCTTATCATACGAGTACAAAATCTAAAGATGTTGAAGAAATTACAATTGGTGATTCTACGGATGAACCTACCAGTTCTCATGTGAGTAAAAGGTAAATGCATTGATTAATAATGCTTAGGTTAAATAGTTTAAGAAAAACAAATTTTAAAAATAATTTTCAGACCAAAATATGGAGGAGTTAAAACTTTTAAGATAGAAAAAAAATGCAATAGTTCTTCAACAAGTGAATTACCTTTAGGAAATTTTGTTTTATTTCTCGATGCAGATAGTCACCCGATAAGTGAAATACAAAGAAGTGCCATAATAAATAGGGTTACCCCAAAGTAAGTAATGTTTTGTAAAAGTTTTTAAAAATAATTATGAAATAATCATGCAATTTATTGTTTAATTACAAAAATTTGCTTAAATACAGATGGTGTTTTGATGTTGGACCAGAAAATTCAAAAATTTGTAAAATATATTTTAATAATACATTTATAGCATCAGGTAAAGGTAAAACGACTAAATTAAGTAAAGAAAATGCTGCAATATCTGCCATATCAAAACTAAGAGAAAATTATTTTGCTGTTAAGGTTGGTAATGATTTTGATTGTCATTATGCCAAAAAGAGGTTTTACGATTTATGTAAAAATATTTTATTCTCACAATTACATGTGTTAATTAAAATTTTCAGGTCAAATATAAATTTTTTTCTGATAAAATAGTGAGTTCATCTGATTTAAATGCAGTTGCAAATGAAGAAATTAAGGAAGATAACATTGGAAGAAAATTAATGAAACTTATGGGATGGGAAGGTGGGGGTTTAGGCAGTAAAGGTCAGGGTATTCAAAAACCAGTGACTTCTAATTCTATAACAATTCAAAGAGGAGGTTTGGGACTTTTTAAAAGTGATGAAACTAATTTTGAAGTTTTTAAAGGAAAAATAAAAGAACATGTTAAAAATTGGTTGCAAGAAGATACCAATCAAGACTTGGTATTTTCTAATGAATTTACATTAGACGAAAGAAAAATAATTCATGAGTTAGTATGTTTTACATATTTTCTTAACTCTCTTTTAATTCTCCAAAATAATATATAAAATGTACATTTTCAGAATAGCAAAACAGTTCTCTTTAAAATCAAAGAGCTACGGAAAAGACCGAAATCGGAATTTAGTTGTTTTCAAAAAAACTAAACCTTTGGAAATTGTTGAAACATTAAAAAAATTAGGAGGAAGTTCAGACAAATATGAATTAATGTATCCTACAAAAAAGGGTTGAGTTTTTGCAAGAAATAGTAATAATAATAATAATTTATACCTTATTTAATTTTTATAAATTTCCTGCGGGTTCGGATCTTGTCATTTTTCAAACAATGATTAAGAACTATTTAACTAACGACAGATAAATTTTTGTGAGCAATAATTAAAGTCTTATGAATGATTTTTATTTGAAACGACTGTACAAAAAATAAAATAAAACAATTTTTTTTTATTTTAAATATTTTTTACCATAATTTTATAATATCATATTCATGATTAATTATTTTAAAATTTATTTAATTACAATCAGAAGTAAACAAAATATTCTGTAAGTAATAATAATAAATAAACTATTTTTTATTGAATTAAAGTTAAAGTAAGTGGATTTTTTTTTTTTTTTGAGTAGTACTTTTACAAGGCAAACAAAGGAAATTATGATCTTTTTATTATAGAAATTGTAATACACTGTCGAACTTGTATCAGTTACTACGATTTAATTACTATTTTTTTTTTTTTAATTTCAGTTTCCAAATATCAAATTAGATTTCAAATCTTATTTTTTTTTTTTTAGTTTCTGTTATCACATTCTGAATACTTACCCCCGCATTCTTGAAGATTTTGAATTTTCATTTTATTTCTTTCTATATTTGTAATTATTGCGGTTGAAGCTGTGCTGAATTCTTGATTTGTGGATCTTAGAAATTTGTCTAAAAGTTTCCTTCCCACCTGAAAATAAAAGTTTTTTTTGGTTTATGTATCTGCGTTGGATGCATAATATCTTAATTAACAATAAATAATGTATAAATAATAATATTAGTTATTACAGTTTCTGCAATATTTTCCAAAACAGCTTTGCAATTTATTTCCCATGTTATCGATTGCAGTAATCTAAGGGCCATTAAATGTAATTCTTGAGGTTGAGTGTCATCTACCAATGTTTTAGCAATACCAATTAGTAATTGGTTTTGTCCCTGCAGGTATATTACTCCAACACTGTTAATACTTATATTGTACAAAGTCATAAAAATAAGCCTGAAAAATTAACAATAAATTAAATTAAAAATTAAAAATTTTTTTAACAATTCACATTTAAAATTTTTACCTTTTTAAACAATTTCCAGAAGGCACTGGTATAAATTGTAAGATTTTAACAAAATGTCTAACTAAATTTTTTCCTTGTTCATCGACAATAAGGAAAAGTCTTCCTTCTGAAGTAGCTGCAATATTAGTGACAATACCTACCAGTGACATGACAAATTGGCTTTCATCTGAGTTTTGATTAGGAATCTCTTGCCTATAAGTATCCATAAATGATGTGAGGGTTCCAACAACAATTAAAAAGAAATCTCCTATTTTATTCTAAAAATTAATTTATATATATTGCAAGTTAAGTTAATTTAAATATATGGAAAAAAATTAATTTTTACATACTCCGGCTGTCAAGGTTTCAACAATTTCAGGTGATCTTGAAGCCTTCCAAAGTAAATGACCTAAAATAGCACCCAATGATGCACAAAATGCACTTTGCTGCTGTAGTTGATTATGAAGACCTGATATTTGAGTTTGAAGTCTACCCAAATGTTCCTGCTGTAAGCCCCATTCTTCCCTCAGAGCATTATATTTTAATTTCACTTCTTCTAATTCTTCTTTTAATGTAGGCATTTCTCACTAACAGAAAATTTAAATGACTCGGAATGATTTAAATAATATATTTATAAATTGTCATTGCTCTTGATATTATTAAAGTTTCAGATCTTTTTTTTTATTACTTAGAAAATCCTCAATCCTAAATAGATGTATATATGTTTGTAAAAAAAATTTAAGCATTCTATATAAAAAATGCACAAATTTCCAGCATATTTAAAAAAGTAATATGCAATCAATTATTTTTAATACAATTTAAACTAACTTAAATATTTTTAAGTTAAAGTTTTTTTATCCAAATTTTTTTTGCAATTATTTCTTGTGATTCTTAATTTTTTTTTTTTTTTTTTTTTTTTTTTTTTAAGTGAATTGTTTTTAATGCCTGATGTTTTTTTTGAAAAAATTTCCCTACAATAATAATAATGATAATTTTTTTTTAAATTTAAAAGTGAATAATTCCAGAATTTCATGATTGATTTTTTTAAATGCTTTGTTTTGTATAAATACTGATTTTGTACTGTTTGAGGTGTTTGTTAAGATTTATTAATATTGTTATGTATAAATAAATCTTAATACTACTTTTGAAAAAATGTATCCAATTATATGAAAATAATATTTATAGAAAACTATTTGAAAACATTATTACTTTTAAAAATACATTACGAAAATTATTTTTAGAATTAAATCATTTATCTGAAATCATAAGTTGTTTATATTGTAAGTAACTCTTGATATAAACAATTTCAATTTTGCATTTAGGTTAGTAAGTGAAACTGTATCGTACAAGGTAATAGCAGGTTTTATTTTTTTAAATTTGATATTTTTAAAAGTAATTAGTTGGGAAAAAACGCTAAAAGATAAATTTAAAACAGTTGTATGCATAAATAATATATTTAAATTAGAGAAAGGTTTAAAATTATTTGAATTGGGTTATATTCAGTTGCCATTTTCTTTTTTGCCTCAAATTATTATATTACAAAACAATATACGTTAGGGCCCCAGAATAGTAGGTCCTCAAAAAAAGAGCACGTGTACCTACGGTAAATATTATGAGTGTACAAAATATTAAACAATTGTTTTCCGAGCGAGTTAAATTATCAACAAAAATTATTGAGGAAGATGAACCAGTTTTTGTAAATGAAAATAATGACGTTAATAATAAGCCGACATTTCTTAGTTTAAAAGAATCTGACGTTGGAATAACGGAATATTTAACCGATTGCAAAGGTTTTGATGCAGTTATTAAACAACGTTATTCCGATTTTCACGTTCATGAAATTGATACCGATGAAAATATTGTATATTTGACAAATACAGATATTCCTAAAGTTAAAGAAAAGATAATTAATTTAGATGTCATTCCAGACGAAACATGGGATAAATTAGATAAAGTATTTAATAAACAATTAGAATCACTTGTAATAGATGTCACAGATTATAGTAAAGAAAAACGAAAAAATATTCATCAAGCTATTAAATCAAAGTATGGTTTACTACTTAAAAGTAATACAATCACTGCAGACAATAAAAAAAATTTGGTAGTTTCTTTAGGAAAAGACCCGAAAACATCTCCATGGTTTTTAGAATTGGGTGCCTATTTACATTTTGTTCTGTTTAAACAAAATCTCGATACTTCTCAAGCTATTAATATTTTAGCCAAATATTTAAAAACCAAACCTTCTAATTTAACATATGCAGGAAATAAAGATAAAAGAGCAGTAACTTCACAATGGGTTAGTATGTGGCATTTAGATGCCAACAGATTGAAAGGTTTAAATAATAAGTTAGGAAATATTTCAGTTGGAAATTTCAAATATACAAATTCACCATTGAAGTTAGGCAATTTGAAGGGAAATTTTTTCGAAATAGCACTGAGAAATGTTAAAGAAAACAATGATTTAATAGAAAAGGCTTTAAATACAATTAAGGAAAATGGATTTATCAATTATTTTGGATTACAAAGATTTGGTAATTCAATTGAAATACCAACATATGAAATAGGTAAAGCATTAGTTAAGGCAGATTTTAAAACAGCTGTGGAATTAATATTAAAACCTAGAAATTGTAAAGTTACTGACGATTTAAAAGAGGCAAGGAAAATTTGGTGGGAAACAAGGGATGCTAAAAAAGCTTATCAAACGATTAAGTCTAAAGATAAAACAATTGAAGGGAAATTATTATTAGGCTTAGCTAAACATGGTAAAAATGCATATGTTAATGCTCTTGATTCAATTCCAAGAAATATTAGGCTTTTATATTTACATTCGTTTCAAAGTTTTTTATGGAACAAAGTAATTTCGAAAAGAATTAATAAATTTGGTCAAAATGTATTAGAAGGTGATTTGGTACTGATAGATAATAATCAAGAAATTAATGAAAGCTCAGAATCAAATACAGATGAAAATGTGTCAGCTTCTAAAACTTCTGTTAAATTTCTTTTAAAAGATGAAATTCAAAAATATCAAATAACTGATATTGTTTATCCATTGCCAGGTTACAATGTCTCATACCCTAATAATATTATCAAAGTTTGGTATGAAGAGCTTTTGAAAGAGTATGAACTGACATCGGAAAATTTTAATCAAGTAGTAAAAAAATATGCTATGTCAGGTGCATACAGGCACATTGTAAAATCAATTAAAAATCTCACATGGAATACTTGTTACTACTCTGAGCCAGAGCAAGATTTAATTTTATCAGATGTTGATAAACTTAATAATAAATTATTAACGACAAGTGAAAATTCTGAAGGAAATTTTAAAGCAATCATATTAAGATTTTCATTGGATTCATCGACTTATGCTACAATGGCCCTAAGAGAAATTTTAAAAATTGATACATCAAATTCTCATCAAGCAAGCCTTAATTCATATTCCAATAATAAAAGAATATTAGAAAGTACTGAAGATAAAACTGAGAAAAAAATTAAATTTTCAGAAAACTAAATATTAAGTAATATTCGATTACTTATTAATTGATTTTATTTACATTATTTGTGTAAGAGATTTTTGATAAATAATTGAAAATTATTTATTATTTAAAAAGTATTTAAATTATCAAATTAATAAATACTGCAAAGAAAAGTTAAAGAAAATCTTAATGCTTAAAAAATTTCTTACAAAAACTTTTTTTAAGTTAAACTTTGAGGAAATTTGTTTTGAAATTGTAAATTTTTGGTTTTTATCAACTTTAATTTGTAATAAAATTGTACATTTATTTATTTATTTTTTTTTTTGATTTTAAACACCTGACTTAACATGTGAATAAGATTGTATCTTGTCTGAATAATGATCTTCGAAAAGTTTAAAACATAAATTCATGTTATTTACAATGTTTTCAATTTTCCATTCTTTTTTAAGTAATGCATCACTAATACCGAAAAAACCATATTTTACACATTTCAGAGCAGTGCAAGTTGCTAAACTCCTTAAACTGATTCCTAAATTATGTATAGTATTCATTAAACTACTTTCATTTTCATTGATGCAATAAACCTCAATGGTAAACTCAGGAGGATTGAATTCAACTAACTTATAACTATAAAAAATCGGTGTAAGAATTTCTTTGGGTCTTAAAAGACCAGCCACTAGAGAATCATAAAGTTCTTGGCTTTGAGTATTAGAGTAATATTCTTCTATTAATCTTTTTTGACTGGCTGCCTGATAAGAAGCTAGTGTTTTATGAACAAGACTTTCACTGATATGTGAATATTTGGCTTTAGCTATAACTGTAGCATCAATATGAAAATTTGTTGTGGCTTGCCCAAGTAATCCATCGATTTTGTAGCATTTTAAAAAATTTAAATTTTTAAGAACTTTACTCAAAGTTTTTCCTCTATTGATACCTAAAACTATAAATAGAAACTTTTACTAGAATCAATCGAAATAAAAAAAAATAAGTTTAAAATTCAATCGTAAGTAGTATTTAAAAAAAGGATTATATTACAAATATAAATTAATACTGATATTTTTATTACCCAATACACCAGATGTATTTTTTCCTAAAGGAGATGGAAAACTTATAGAAATGTCCTCAGGTTGATATCTAGGACCAACACACAAAATATTATCAGCAAAACTATCTCTGACTTTGACCAAAGCTTGTTGATTATCTTGTTGATTATTTTGAATTAAGTCTATATACTTGTTGACAGGTCTAGTTTCTAAACTATTTAATTCTGAAAAAATTAATTTAAATTATAAAAAAAAAATTATAAAAGTTCAAAAATTTATGTAAAATTAAAAAAAGATTTTACCTGAACAAAGTTTAGATTGAATTTTGTGCTTAACATAAGAACATGATGTTCCTGCAGATTTATAAACATTGATTATTCCATTTAGAGATTTCCAAGCAGTTTCCGCCTGACTCATTTTATTTAATTAAAATATTAATTAATTATTTGAAGCACTAATAATTAATAGACAGTTATCGTTACTAATAAAACTGATATAATTAATTTTATAAATATTTGTAGTACTTAATAGTTATTCTTTTTACATAATATAACTTATACGATGTATAAAGCTTTAAATGTAACTACAAACATAATCATAATATACAAAATCTAAATTTTAAAAAAATTTTAAACTTAACTTTGGAGGTGTAACTGATTGATAAAGTAAGGTAAGAAGTAAAATACAAAGTAAATTATCGTGGCTTTAGACTAACCTTTAATATCCTTGACTTATGCGTTATTTTTAAGCAGTATCAAAATGGCAGCCGCGTCGCTAATACCGAATTCTATCGAAATCCCTTTACGGGATACCGATGAAGTAAGTTTGATGTTATTCTTTTTAAAATGTTAAACCGCAGTATGGTTTAAAACCTAATAATTTTCAAATAATCTCATTTCTGACGTCATTTTTTAGATACTTTAATTATGCTTTTTTCTTTGAGTAAAAAGCAAAGTTTGTGTTTTAAGTTTTAGTAAATGTTTGTTTAATTTTTCATATGATACATTTAATATTATATTGTTATTTGCTCCTAACCTAAAATAAAAAATTATTTACAAATTATTATTAATATGAAAATACTTTAATTAGTATTTAATTTTTTATTTAATAAATGTAGAATTCAATCTAGTACTGTATTTGTAAAAGGTTTTTTTTGTTATGATATTATTTTTTACTTATCAGGTAATAGAGTTGTACTTAGATCAATTGCCAGATGGAGAAGAAGTGCTTGGAATTTTGCGTCAAGAACATACAGTTCTCAGTATTTGGGTTAATTTGGCAGTAAGTAGTTTTAAAATATTTACAAATAATTTTTTTAAAGATAATTTCATACTTTGCATTAAAATTTTCAGTTGGAATATTACAAACAGGGTAAAATTGAAGAATTTATTAAAATCCTTGATGCATCCAGAACTGATGCCAATATTGATTATAGAGATTTTGAAAAAGACCAAATGCGAGCACTGGATATGTTGGCAGCTTACTATGTTCAACAAGCAAATAAAGAAAAAAACAAAGATAAAAAAAGAGATCTCTTTACAAAAGCTACCTTACTTTACACAACAGCTGACAAAATTATTATGTATGATCAAAATCACTTACTTGGTAGAGCTTATTTCTGCTTACTGGAAGGTGATAAAATGGAACAAGCAGATGCTCAATTTAATTTTGTTTTAAATCAATCACCAAACAATATTCCATCACAAATTGGAAAAGCTTGCATTGCTTTTAATAAAAAAGACTATAGAGGGTCTCTTGCTTTTTATAAAAAAGCTCTAAGAACTAATCCTAATTGTCCTGCTGCTGTTAGATTGGGTATGGGACATTGTTTTGTCAAGCTTGGGAATTTAGAAAAAGCCAGATTGGCTTTTGAAAGAGCTTTACAACTTGATCCACAGTGTGTCGGAGCCTTAGTTGGTTTAGCAATTTTAAAACTTAACATTCAAGAACCTGAAGATATTAGAGCAGGAGTACAAATGCTGTCCAAAGCATACACAATTGATATGTCTAATCCTATGGTTCTTAATCATTTAGCTAATCATTTTTTTTTTAAAAAAGACTATAATAAAGTACAACATTTGGCATTGCATGCTTTTCACAATACCGAAAATGAAGCAATGAGAGCAGAAAGTTGTTATCAATTGGCAAGGGCATTTCATGTTCAAGCTGATTATGACCAAGCCTTTCAGTATTACTATCAGGCAACTCAATTTGCTCCAAGTGCTTTTGTTCTTCCACATTACGGACTTGGTCAAATGTACATATATAGAGGAGATTCTGAAAATGCTGCACAGTGCTTTGAAAAAGTTCTCAAGGCTCAACCGGGAAATTATGAAACTATGAAAATTTTGGGATCTTTATACGCCAATTCCACTAGTCAGTCAAAGAGGGAAATTGCTAAAAATCATTTAAAAAAAGTTACTGAGCAGTTTCCGGAAGATGTTGAAGCTTGGATAGAGTTGGCTCAAATTTTGGAGCAATCAGATGTACAAGGTGCGCTTTCAGCGTACGGCATGGCAATTAAAATTTTAAGAGATAAAGTTCAGGTAGAATTACCCCCAGAAATTTTAAATAATGTCGGAGCTCTTCATTACCGGTAAATTTATTTACTTTTATAATTGTATGATGAAGAATTTATTGATATAATTACAAAACGTAAGTTAACTTTTAGGTTAAACAATTTGGAAGAAGCAAAAAAAAATTTTGAAGATTCTTTAGCAAGAGCAAAAACAGAATCAGAAATCGATCCGCAATATTATAATTCTATTTCTGTGACTACTACTTACAATTTAGCAAGGCTAAATGAATCTCTTTGCCAATATGATCGTGCCGAAAAATTGTACAAAGATATTCTTCGAGAGCATCCAAATTATGTCGATTGTACGTAAATGAAAAAAAAAAAAAAAAAATTTTTATTTTTTTTATTTGAATTTCAGAAAAATAATATTTTTTTTAGGCTACCTTAGATTGGGCTGTATGGCTCGAGATAAAGGTCAAATAAGTGAAGCATCCGATTGGTTTAAAGATGCGTTGCAAATAAACAACGATCATCCGGATGCTTGGTCTCTTTTGGGAAATCTTCATCTTGCTCAAATGGAATGGGGACCAGGACAAAAAAAATTCGAAAGAATTTTAAAAAATTCATCAACTTCAAGTGATGCGTACTCTCTAATTGCACTTGGTAATGTTTGGCTTCAAACGTTACATCAGCCAACAAGAGACAAAGAAAGGGAAAAACGACATCAGGAAAGAGCTTTAGCTATGTACAAGCAAGTGTTAAGAAACGATCCACGAAATATTTGGGCTGCTAATGGAATAGGAGCAGTTTTAGCTCACAAAGGAGCTATTAATGAGGCGAGAGATGTTTTCGCTCAGGTCAGAGAAGCTACTGCCGATTTTTGCGACGTATGGCTTAACATAGCTCATATTTACGTTGAACAAAAACAATACATTAGTGCAATACAAATGGTAAAAAAAAAAAAAAAGCTTTAAATAATTCTCATTAACAAATTGTTACAAAAATAAGCCAAATTTTTAATATGTATTTTATAGTATGAAAATTGCCTAAGGAAATTTTATAAATATCCTCACGTTGAAGTTTTACAATACTTGGCTAGAGCATACTTTAAAGCTGGAAAATTAAAAGAAGCAAAAATGACATTGTTGAAAGCTAGGCGTGTTGCTCCTCAAGATACTGTTCTGCTTTATAATATAGCTTTAGTCCTTCAAAGACTAGCCATGTTTATTTTAAAAGATGTAAAGTCCACTCTAACTACTGTTCTTCAAGCCGTGCACGAATTAGGTTTATCTCATAAGTAAGATTACAATTTGAAATCTTAAAAGAAATTTAATTTGCGTTTACGTATGAACGAGTTTTAAAATTGAATTTTATAATTTAATAAATTTCAAAATTTATTTAGATATTTTCAATACTTGGCTGTTTACGGAGACCGAATGAAATATGATTTGGCTTTAGCAGCTATGGAAGCAAGGCAATGCCAAGATTTACTTTCTCAAGCTCAGTATCATGTTGCAAGAGCACGAAGAGTTGATGAAGAGGAAAAACAATTGCGTAAAAAGCAAGAAGAAGAACGAGAAGCTTTCAGAGTCAGACAAATGGAAGAACAAAAAAAATTAGAGGAAAGACGTCGTCAAGAAGCCGAGCAAATGTTAATAAAGAGACAAGAGTATAAGGAAAAAACTAAAAACGCAATTCTTTTTACTGAACTTCCAAATGAGATGAAACCGAAGAGCAGGGGTAAAGGGAAAAAGGATTATATTACAGATTCAGGTGAGTTATTCAGTTCATTGTTTTGTATAAAAAAAAAAAAATGTTTCGAAAAATTTTTCATTACTAATTATTGCGTATTGATAGACGGATCTGATGCTGAAAACGAAAAACCAAAAGAGCCGAAAGAAAGAAAACGATCGGAAAAAAGGAAAGAAGGAAGAAAAGGTGGAACGAAAAGAAGAAAAGAGAAGAAAGAAGGAGGCGATAGTGATTCGGGTAGTGATAAACCAAAAAGAACATCAAGGGGAACCAAAGAACCTAAAAAGAGAAGAAAAAAAGTTGACGATGGTTTAAGTGCGAAACAAAAAATGAAAATAGTATCTAAAGCTACAATTTCGACGAGTGAATCGGACAGCGATACTGGAAAATTAAAAATAGCTAGCGGGTACGCCATTTTTTTTTTTTTTTTTTTTTGGATTAAAACGAAATCCCATTTGGCCATTTTTGTAAATTATTTATTCAATATTTTTTCCAGAAACGAAAGCGGAAGTGGAAGCGATAAGGCTCCTCCTAAAAAGCAACGTAGAATTCGTTCCAGCGGTTCAAGATCTCTTTCTCGATCCAAATCTAAAAGTGTTTCTCCTTCAAAACTTGATGACAAAGAAGAAACCAGGAGTAGAAAATCTCGTAGTCGCAGTCGAAGCGGAAGTCGTAGCCGAAGCCGGAGTCAAAGCCGCAGCCAAAGTCGTAGTCGCAGCCGCAGTCGTAGCGGAAGTGGAAGTCGAAGTAGAAGCGGGAGTCGTAGTCGTAGTCATAGCCCTAGTCGTAGTCGAAGCGGAAGTCGAAGCAGAAGCGGAAGCCGAAGTCCCAGTCGCAGTCGCAGTCGAAGTCACAGTAGGAGTCGCAGCCGAAGTCGTAGTGGGAGCCGTAGTAGTTCGGCCTCGGGATCCGGAAGAAAATCGGGAGCCTCGAGTAGATCGGGCTCTCGTTCTCGATCTCCATCCAGAGAAAGGGCTCGATCTCATAGTTCAGCAAGAAGTCGGTCTCGATCTGGTTCTCGAGCACATTCTGCAAAAACACAGTGAGTCACTCATTAATATGACGCTTTTCCAAGTTTTAAAATTTTTAAATATTATTAAATAATTATTATAATTATATTATAAAATAAAAAACTTAATTAATTATTTATGTATTTTACAGTTCAAGAAGTGGGAGTCCCTCATCCGTCAGAGGAAGTAAAAGCCGATCAAGATCCCATTCGAGAGGTTCATCAAAATCCAGGCAATCTTCTCGCTCTAGATCTCTATCGAAATCTCGATCGAAATCTCGATCGAGATCTCGATCGGTGTCTAAATCTTCGGTTACTTCTAATAAAAGTAAATCGTGATCTCCCCATAGATCAACAAAATGTAAAAGCGATTGAATTAATTATATTCGTCGTGGTTTTACGCACAAAAAAATTTTAGAAAACGTGACGACGATATAGAAAATTTAATTAAATTCGATAAATTTAACTTTTTATACTCACGATTTCGAGTATTGAAATATTTAAATGTTATTAAAAAAAAAAAATAATATTAATTTTGTAAATAATTGAATTATAAAAATGGGTATAAATATAAATAATTGTAACATTAAATTTGATATTTGTTTTAAAAATGGAATTATTATTATTATTATTATTATTATTATTATTATTATTATTATTATTATTTCAATTATTTTGATTATAAAAAAAATTGTTTTAATTATATTAAAAGACTTGTAATAATTTTATGTAATAATGACTTTTTATTTCTTAAATAATGTAAACCTCACTTATTAATTTATATGTAAAAATTAAAATATAAAGATTTTTTTTAAAAAAATTATTATTATTATTATTTTTTTTTTTCCCGTTAAACGATATTGAAAATTAACCGACAATATTGAAATAATTAGCAGACGAATTTTTTTAAAGTCACTTTTTTTAAAATTTTTTATTAAGAATTAATTAAGTCACGCAATGAAAATAACAAAAGGAAATATTTTGAAAAAAAAAAAAAAAAGGAAAGAAACAAACGGGGGAAAAAATTTTAAATTATTATTATTATTATTATTAAATATTAACCTTTAAACAAACAAAACAATTGTTTGTTATTAACCACGACTGTAGTATATATTTTAAAAATTATCGGTTAAAGAAAATTGCGCAATCGCTTTTTAAAAAAATAAAAAAAAAATTTTCTTTTAGTTTAAAAACAGTTTTCCATTGTATGTGACGGTGTAAGTTTAAAATAAAAATACGTTAAAATTGTTTAAAAAAAAAAGGAAACGGAAATGTAATAATTTAATAATTATGAATGAGATTTATTTCGTCAGATGAAAAGTTCGATAATAATTTTTCTTACTTAAAATTTAATAATTTTTTTCCGTTAAAAAGAAAATTTTTTTTAAAATAAATTTAATTACTTTAAAATTTTTTTTTTTTTTTGGCAGTTTATTAATGAAAAAAAAAATTAAATACAAAAAAAAGAAAAGAATTGATTTAAAATTATGCTCCGCCTAAATTAAAAAAAAAAAAAAAAATTTCAACCCCTTTTTCGCCCAACTAAAAAACATAATAATAATAATAAACCCTTTCTATTAAAATATTTGCTTTTTAACAGAAGAAAAACTTTTTTAAACTATATTTTATACTTTAAGTTAATAAATTTATGAATTTTTTTTTTTTAAAAGGAAAAATTTTCTAGAATTTTCTACCTACTAAATCTCTGTAGGTTGTACCTTTAAGGAGGAAAGTATTAATTACGTCATCGCATTTCGTTGAGAAAAGTGTTTGAAGTTGTCTGCATATTTTTTTTAATTTTAAATGATGGAAAATATTTTTCCGGAAAATTTTAATTTTTCATTAAAAAAAAAAAAAAAATTTTAATTTCCAAATTTGGGGATTAATTCATAAAAACAATTTGGAATTAATGTGGAATTAATTTTTATCAAATAAACTATTGTTTATCTTTTAGATTTTGAAATTTTTATTAATTTAAAATTGCGGTTATTTTTATTATTATTATTATTACCGAACGAAATAAATTCAAATCATCATCATCCAAATCTAAAAAATGATCATAAAAACTTCGAATGAATGAATGAATGAATTAATCAATCAATCGTTTGTTTATTTTCATAAATCGAACAAGAGGTAATTTTTATTACTTTATTACAACGAAATAAGAAAAAATCACTATCATTCTCTTTTTAATTATTATTATTATTATTATCATTATTAGAATTAGTATTATTATTATTATTATTATTGTTATTATTATTCATTTTTAAACAAGATTTTTGTGTATTTGTTGGAGTTTTTAAGTTCATTTATTTCAGGTTTCTACCCGACGCGATTCCTTAGGGATAAATGCTCGAATTTCGTTGGTGCTATTTATAATATTTTCCGAAGAATGAGGGCTTATTATTATTATTATTGTTATTACTATTATTATTATTATTATTATTATTATTATTATTGTTATTACTATTATTATTATTATTATTATTATTATTATTATTATTATTAAAGCCAAATCGTAAATTAGCTAAAAAAAAAAAAAAAAGGAAAATTTTTCTCGATTAATATGAATCGTAAGAATTTATCGAAGCGTAATTGATTTTTTTATTAACTAATTGTAAAATTAAATTACATGACTACCACCATTATAAAAAAAAAAACAAAAACAATAATAATAATAATAATAATAATAATAAACTCGACTTTAAGTTTTTTATTTATTTATTTATTTAAAAAAAACACTCGAATCAAACAAAAAAAAAAAGAAAAAAAAGTTTTGAATCAATCACCAATTGATTAATAACAATTAAACAACCCTTAGAAATTGAAACTTGAATTATTATTATTATTATTATTCGTTTTTTTTTTATTTTTAAAATTTTTTTTAAACAACAAACGATTTCTTGTTTTTGTTTGTCTATTGTTTTGGGCTCTTATTGATTCTGTCATGTAGAAGAAAGTTTGAAAAATTTTTTTAAATGTTTTTTTTTTTACGTCTACGCCATTTTTTTTTTTTTTTTTTTGATTCTGTTTTCAGGTATTGTGTCACTGCAGGTAAACAAAATGCTGATATTATCATGTTGATAATGATAATGCTATGGAAACACCAGAGAAACGAAAAATTTGAAATTTCTGGTTTGTTTATTTCAAAATGACAAACTTTTTCCCGGTAATTATTTATATATTCAATATTATTATTATTATTTTTTTTTATGATGAATTTAATATTTTTGTAATGTTGCAATTACAGAAAGTAAAATTCTAGAACATTCTATAATCTAAATTTCCTGAACGAAGGATCAACAAGTGATTTAATGTAAATTTTATTTTTATTTAGTCTTATTGTAGTAAAAATTTTAAAATTAAAATAAATTTTGATTGTAAAAAATCTTAATATAAAATTTAATGAATAATAATAATAATAAAAAAATTCACGTTTAAAATTTTTTAAAGAAAACCTACTCGCTAACTTTTCCAGCATCCATTTAAAAAAATCATAATCGACGGACAAATAAGAAAAAAAAATAAAACTTACCTTAAATTTAAGAGATTCGGTCGAAAACTGGAAAATCTTGAAGAAAAACCGTTAATTGAAAAATCTAAAAAAAAAAAAAAAACATTTCATTTAATTTTATTAACATTTGAAAAGTATTATTATTATTATTATTTTCACTTTCAAACACTATAAGATTTTGTATACCTTGTTTTTAAACATTTTTCCAGGTCTTTATCAGATTTCATTGTGCTGCTATTGCTTTCGAAAAATGAGCGGGCCGTCCTGCATAGTGCGATTTCCTGGATGGCTTCTTCTTCTTTTAAATTCTTCGAAATCTTCTTTGAATTTCCTTTTATTGAATGTGGCATGGCTCCCAGTCCTACTCCCACGATGACCGGAATCGTTTCTGTTTTTGTTCCCCACATCCTGGCTATTTCAGCCTTTTGTCTGCTTCTTTGGCTGTGGTGTTTTTTTCCGCCGGTACGGATACTTCAATTAGCTTACAACATTTTTCCGCATTATGCTTTTAAGGATGATATCCGGTTTGTTAGCTGGTACAGTTCTGTCAGTGTGGATTTGTTGATCGTACAGAATCGTGCATGGACCTGGTGACGTAGCCAAACTTGTACCATACCTTGGGTGATCCGTCCATTCCATATTCGCGACAGGTATTCCAATGAAGATATTGACAAATTTTATTGTGCGCCTCCAGATATTCACGTTTTGTCAATATCGAACAACCGGAAATTAACTAATCGATTGTTTCCGACTACGATTGGAAAATTCGGCACGTCTTGGCAAACTTTGAAAATTACTCTCTCGCAGTTGAGTCCGCAATCCTTGGTCTTGAGCACCTGTAATAAATTTATTATTATTATTATTATCTGTTCATGGCACGTACAAAACATGATTTTTCTTAAATTACTAAAAACAATTTATTTTTTTAAAATAATAATAATAATAAAATTAACGGAAAACAAAAAACAAACGAAGAAACAAAAAAAACATAATTAAATCAATAAAATTTTGCTCGTTTGTTTGTTTGTTTGTTTGTTTGCCACGTAAATATTTTCATTTTTTATTCTATCAACATTTGTCGCTTTTTAAAAACTCATTTATCATTCTTCAATCACAAATATTTTTTTTTTATCACTCATTTTTTTAAAAAAATTTGTCACATTGTTTTCTTTTTTTTTTTTTTTCGAGTGGTGTATTTTATAATAAAGAGAATAAAAAAAAAAATTTAAAAATTACGTGTAATCATCCGTAAATTATATAAATCGATGATTTATTTATTTTTTATAACAAACAAACAATCAATCATTTAATATGAAAGTTATTTTATTAAAAAATTCGCATCGTTCAAAAACAGAAAAAAAATTTTTCTTTCTTTTCTTAAATCATTTTTGTACGGATAATTGAATTTTATTTATTTACTCTATGATCAGATTAAAATTATTCAATTTTAAATTATTATTATCATTAAGAGAATTTCAAATCAAATATTTCAAAATATATCATTTACATCGTAAGAGAGAAAAAAAAAAAACAAACAAACGTGAATGATGTGAAAATTTTTGGCCCGACGACGACGCCATATTGAAATTTTTTAAAATTTAATCAACGAACCATTTAAACCTCAAATTTGTTATTAAAATTTTCCAATTTCATATCAAAACCTAATTAATTAATTTTTCACTACTTTTTAAAAACATTTTAAAAAGAAATTCGTTTTGTTTGCCGTAGGTTAAGGAAAGAAAAAACAAACAAACAAAGGATACGTTTAACGGTTTTGATAACAACAACAGGTAGTACGATAACTATAAACCCTTTCCTTATCAATATTCAATTCGCGTAAATTAATTTTATTAATTTCAATTTACAAAATATTTCTTTTCAACCCTTACACGCGAAATAATAAT